GGGACGCTATTAATTCACCGTTTCCCCCCAGGAGGTTAAAATGAAGGAAGAAATAGGTACATTTATACATTTTACTAACTTATATATAATCAGATTTTCCATAATTGTGAAATTTAGTTGTTACTAATTTCATATTTTTTTTGTACATTATAATAAAATTAATCTGATAAGTGCATTTTGAAAACATTTCAAAATAAATTTTGGGAATTTAATTTTTCACCACAAGAGGGCGCAACCAAATTGTTAGACTGATCATTGTGATGCAATAAAAGATGCAATTCATAGAAAAAAAATATACATTTGTAAAAACAAAAAACATATAATTGTGAAAATAAGGTATAATTTATTGATTAGATTAAACATAAATGTAACCACATGCTACTTAGGGGGGGGGGACAAATGTTGCACTCTCTTCTATGCTTGATCCAACGAGGAATGCGGCTACATGATGTGTAATGCTGTTATGCATCGTAGAGGTGCAAATAGACTCACACTCAAATTCTATTTTATTTTGGACTTGCAAAAAACCACAGACCACTGTATTTTATGGAGCACACAGATACTGACTTAGCCATGCCTGAATATATCTGCTATGTCTTATATCTTTTTATCTGTAACCTTGTTAAGCTCGTGTCAATTTTGCTCTTTGAAATAAGATTGACTGATTTCTTTTATTTTATCTATAAAAATATCCTACAAATCAGTAAAAGAAAATGGCTGTGAATCTCAGGTTAAGGAGTTAAGGGATTATTGATTCAAATATTTATGTACACAGATTAGAATATGATATAATGTTACAATGCAATATACTTACTTCAATATTTACATGCTATGGGTCATAAATACGTTGACTCATTTTTGATCATACTTCTCAATCGCATAAATGTTTTATTAGAAGAAATGGGAGTCGTGATACATTAGAAATCACAACGTTATGTTTTAGGCTCACTAACTTGCATTCATTGTTTTGATACTCTTGATTTTTTGTGTTTAATATTTATTTTATTGTTTATAATCTCTGATTAAGATTTTATAAACGCCAACATTCAGCAATGATAAAATGCGATGCCTATTATAATGTGTTTCACGGCCTGAAATGACTTAAGGGCGTCCACGTGGATGACATTTTAATAAAGTTACTCTAATGCTTACGCTTGTGTTAGAAAATACATGAAATCTTCTTTGCTACAAATTGGCTGATTTCTCCGACTTCCATAGATGTGTCGAATAAAAATTGAAACGGTTTACATTATTTGGTTTGGATTTGAAATGAACTTGTGTCTGTGAATAGACTCGCAAAATGTTGTGGTTTTTGTTGTTGTTGTCAGTTAAAAATGATAGATTTGGGTTGTGTTGGTTTCCATCCAATTTTTGGTGAACACGTAATCTTCTTTTTCCTTTTTTGGGACATATGGGGTCTATCTTCAGATAATGTGAACGTTTTAATTATGTCATAAATTACTATTGTATACCTTTATTTACCAATTAACAGGGGAGATGGAATGATCTGATTAGCATTTCAATTAGCAATGTGTACTTAGTGTTTTATCTTGATTAATGGGAGATATTTCAGTTAGTAATCCTGTTCGTACTTTAGATTGGTAAAATCTCATGCCGATATTTAATGTATATATCAGTTTGGCAGTAACTAGGCAACAGAACTGTCATTTTGAAAAAATAGGCCAATATGCAAAAAAAATGTTATTTTCAAGACATTTTCATTAAACACAATACCATATTTGCTCTATTAGAAGTACTTGCATAAATGATGGAGAGTGTCTATGACCACTATACATTATTTGTCTATATGCCCTTTAATAGAGCAAATATGGTAGTATAATTAAAGCATTATTTCATTTTAACCTGTTTTTGATTCTGAGAAAAGTTTGAGACAATAAAACTAATTTTAGGAAATGTATGTAATTAATCACCCTCTTTTCACATGTAAAACTTTTAGATATGAAGTACTCATGTTTAGAAGGTTCACTGACAAAACTGGTACATGTGTGTACCTTATAAACAGAAATATCCTTGTATTCTGGGGCAGAGTACTGTCAATTTTTTTATTTTCATTTCGAATTTATTTTTGCTAAAGGTGTGAATAAATAAAAATGAAATCCAATAAAAATAATCTTTTTTTTTTATATTTTACATTTTACCAATCAGCCAAAATGTCTTTTCAGCAAAAAAATTAATTACAGAAAAAAAAATATTTTACATTAAATCCTAATGAACTTTTTACTGAGTTTTGTATTTTTATTTTTTAGTTGGCTTCTACGTTAATGACTTCTGAGCTGATAATGCCGTGTGTATAGTCTACATTTATCTTGGCTTGAAAACTGATCAATAAATGATCTCCAACATTTAAAAAAAAATTATTAATATCGACACTTCTATTCATAATACGTCCCAACATTGAGACAATTTAACAATTCTAAACTACTTGTGTCGTATGACCTCATTTTATGTGTGTGGTTTTATTTGTCGCAATTCGTTACCTTCCAGCGTATTTGGACATTGTAATTTTGATTTTGAAATGCATACTGTGATGCACTGAGCTTGTAATATGCCGCAAGCTACAATGTATATTTGTTTAAGTAGACTGCTTCATTTACAGTCCTTCCACAGTTCACATCTGCGTAAATATATATCGACTAACTTTCAGTGTTAAATCTAGGTCATACATCTGTGGACAAATTTGATGAAATATTATAGAATTGTTTATGTTCATAAGAAACTGTCAATCATGGCTCTGATATCTGTCTGTGTTATCATGTCTCAGTATTGGCACCAGAGGGCGCAATTGTATTAGATTTCAATTTTGTACATGGTTTATTTGGTGATTGATAATTCTGGTTAAAGGGAATATAAACGAAATGTAGATTTTGTTATTTTAATTATTATAATATATGATCTTGTTTTTTTGCGATGGTTTTCTGTTAAAATTATTTGAACAACAATGCAAAATGTATCACTGCCACACATTTTCGTGATTTGACACTGTGTATAGGATCTCAGAGAAATTTTCGCTGCTACAAAATTTTGCGAGTCATTGAAAATTTGTCTCTTTCAAAATTAAAGCAATTTATAATATGCTTTTTTTTGTGGAAATTCAGATTCAATCAAAGCCTCCCAATGTAGAACTTTTTATTAATCCCCATTCAAACGAAGTAATTTGATTGTTCGTATGACAGTCCGTCCATCCAGAGTCGTATTTCAGAACCCTCTGGACCAATTCCATTGATTCATTGCATGTACCTCGCACTTTATGTAGGACATATGCAAATGCAGTGGTTCAGTAAAGGCCGACTGGCAACCATTTTGTTTTTTCAAAATGTGGTATTGTGGACATGCTTTGTCAGTTTTTGTTCAAATTCAGTACATACGATATACATAGTTAGGATACAAGTCTATGGCGATTTGTGTTTGTGATCAGATCAAAGATGGTTGACTGGCAACATCTTGTTTTTTCAAAATGTGGTATCGTGGACATGCTTTGTCAGTTTTCATTCAAATTTGGTATAGTTTGTACATCATACTCAGATACATATGTAGAATACATGTTTATGACAATTTGTAGAACTTTTTATTTTACCCTGATTTAATTTATACTGAAAGCTAATTGTAATTAAATTTTGAAGATTTTGCATATAAAGTGAGTGATTATAACTTTCACCTTTCTGAAAACTTTTGCTATGCTGTTTTCATGCATATTAGAATCTTTTTAACTGTTAATTGCGTGATATCTTTCGGTTGTAAAGGGTAATTCTAATAATATTTCACACGCTGGGAATTACTACTTCATGAGAGATCTGAAAACATTAAAGATATTTATATAAAAAAAAAATTGACAGTTTGGGTAATTTATTTGGTATTGATGTTACGCCAAGCTGTTTCAGTTAAGTTACTGATTATATGTATAATAATTTTAGTCTTATCGTACTGTAGCATTCATCTCTTTGTCATACATACTTGTATACCAGCTATGATAATTTTTTCGAAAAGAAAAGAAGCTAAATGCCTGAAAGTGAAAGCACGTTGCTGTGAATGAGAAACCTGATGGATTTTTCCATCGACCAATTCTGCTGTTTTTTCATTGTTGCACTGCTTTTTGTAAAACGTAATTGCTTATTGGATTTTTTTGCCGAATTGCTGTTCCTACCTCTATCTCATTTTATTGAAATGTTTTGTTGACTCTTCTAATCATCGATAACTTTTTAAAAAAATCCAAAACAGCAATATTGAGGTTTCTGTAAACCTCATTTGTTGCCATAATAAATCTATTTTAAATTCAAAATGGCTGCTGAATTAAAGCATGTGTCTCTATGGAAACAAGCCCTCTGCCATCTACTAAATGGCATTCACATTGCAGGTTTAAAGTTTTATACAATTATGTCTATGAGGTACTGCATGTTTATATAGACCAAAACTTTTTTGGTATAATTGTTAAAAAACTTTGTATTTGTAACACAGTATTCACTGTGTACTGCTATACTGTAAAGTGAAAAAAACAAAATTCCTTTTTTTCGAAAAAAACATGATTCATTGGCTAGTTTTAGGCATTTCAAATTAGTTTATTGCAGTGACTGTAAACAGTCTTGTCTTTGTACAAACCTTTCATTTCGTGAGAGAAAAATCTTCACAAACAGGGAATGTGGTTCTTTAGGCAAGATGTTAGAATGATTTGTGCGAGCACGAGATCAAGTGATAAATTCTTATACAGTCTGCAGTATTAACTTCAACTCTGTTCATATCTGTCAGCTTTGGCCAGCTTTTCTCAATAATTATAGGAAAAGCTTGCCTGAACTAAAACTAAACTGTAATCTCTACCATCCTTAGAGAGATTATCTGTAATGAAAGTGGTTTAAAAGAAAAAACAGAAAGGTCTTTCTGATGCCCAAGGGGGAGTGGGCTTATATGCTTTAGGTACTTGTATCCAGATCATCGATTCATCTATGTTGTTTTACTAACACATATTTATTGTGTGCTTTTTTTGTCAGGATTTGCAGTATATTTATTCCCAGTTACATGGGATGGAAGCGCTAAATACGCTGAGAGAACCAGCGTTGAGGGCGATATGCAAATCTCTGAGATACGAGTTCCATGACGCCAACGATATACTTTACTGGTAAACTGCCATACTCTATTAATAGTGGTGTGTGTTTACGTAAATGACAATTGTGTAGTCAAGTCTTATTTTATGGATCTTGTATGCAATAAATTTATCGGTTTATATGTGTTTCTAGTAGTTATGCGGTAAGAAAATGAATGAAAACATGAAAGTGAATACTGTATTTCTGAATATAGTACAATAAATGCAAATTTTGGCTTATGTACGCTTTTATCAGAATTGTGCTTCTAATAGAGCAAATACAGTAGTAGTATTTGACCACTAGAGTGCGCTATATAACTGTTTGTTATCTCTTGTTTGTACTTTACAGTCGTGATGAACTAAGCATTTCCTGGTTCATTCTCTTATGTGGCTCTGTCTTTATTGACGGATCTATGTATTTGCCGAGAAGCAGGTGAGTATTCTCTTCCTAATTTGCATCCTGGTTGCCCTGACAATTTGTGATGTTACCATGGTAGCAGCGTGTCTTGTGTGTGTCTTCTAATTAGATTATTCTTATCGTGCTATTGTCAATTTTTCAGCTCACTAGGGAGTTGGGGTTTGTAGTAATAGCCTCTAGTTATGTCCTTTCAGGTCTTCGTTTATTAAGTTAGCCTTTCTTTAGCAAATGCCAACCTTCTTGTCAGAACATTTCTAAATATAAGTAACATAATTTGCTGTACATGATAGGCCAGTTAGTGTTGTATTTCTTTAAGTCAAATCTTTGTCTGACCTGAAAAAGAGAAAAATAAAGCCCATTCTCATGATATCGTTTTTTCGCATTACCAAGTGATACGTTGCGATACCGCTTTTTTTTTCATTGCGATTGTCAAGATCTTACTAAAAATAGAACTGACTTCACTATAGAACGTCATTCAGGATATGAAACGTTGACATGTGCAGCGGATGACGATGATTTCATCCCCAACTTACTTCACTACAGCTTTTGAATGGTTTGTTGTAAATCACAAGGGAAGTTCATTGCCTGAACAAAGATCCTTTGCTAAATTATTTCAACACCATAGCAGTTATGAATATATTTATTTATTTTTTTGTCTAAATCAAATGTTTTTACGAATAGTCATTACATTATATAATGCTTGGGGATTACTACGACTACTATGGAGATGGTATGAAGTAATACTATAATATCAACGACATCCTTATCTAATAATCTTGTGATAGTTAGCTTCAACTTCATTTCATTATTAAATTGAAACAGAAATTGAATCTGTTCACTGCAAGATCTTATGTCGCAAAAAATTTGAATTTCTTTATTTCATAGCTCACATCGAAAGGCTTATCTTTGATAGAGGAATATTGCGTTATATATCCGTATTTCATCAAATTGACCGTCATCAAATATATATAGCACATTAATAATACATTTGTGATTGTTGAATCCCTAGCAATATTTGACATTATTATGATGCTTTAACCTTTGTTTGTCCTGTCTTGTTTTTCGTTTGATTGCACGCATAATAACGCTAGAATTCACGGTGATTGGAAAACGGTCTGTTTCTACATGTGTGTAGTATAAAAACTATTTTTTTGGGGAAGAAAAAAAAACCTATTAACCTCCATTTTGAAGATTTTGTTTTATTTTTTTCTTCATTTTATACTTGAATGCTTCTACTCGATCTCGCTGATTCACGCTGATTTCTTCTGTTGATGAGATCTTATCAGCATACTTAACTAAATTACATTAAATTAGCAAAAGTTGACCTTGGCAGTAAGCAGTGTTACTGTGGTAAAGCAAAGGTTAGCAAGGAGATATTGTAAAGTATCAGAAATGTATTTCCTTGTTTTCGTTGATTCATTTCATCTTATTCATCCCGGTATTCTGAGAAATAACCTCCAGGAATTATCATTTCCGCACTTCTCAATACCTATCAAAGAACATAAGAAGAGGTGGATAATAAAGCAGATGATAAAAATGAATAATTCGATTATGTTACCATAGAAACTACTATAGTTCTGCTATGATAATTGTAGTTATCATATTTCCAACTTCCTTTTGTGCAAGGTGTATCTCCATCAGTACATCTTTAATTTCTCTGTAGAATAAAATATTGCTTTATGAGAACGTGCACTCTAAGAAAACATTTGACTATTTCATTTTTCTGTTCATTTTTGGTTGAAAAATTAGGGTGAAATGATGTTTTTGTCTGTTCTCGGATTTGCCTCGATCTACTGTATTTCATTCAAATTACATATACTCAGTATGTATAGATAATACACAATACAATTACATAAGTTGATATTCACAATCAAAGTGTATTATTTTAGGTAAAAAAATAGGGTTAAAACCACGAGCCAATTGTAGGTGAATAGGGCATGGGAAGCTGTGAGCACTGTGTTATGGCTCCATTGTATGAAGGAAAAGCAGTTTAGCTCACTGTTTCACCACACATGTGAACCACTCTTGAGTATAGAAACTACTGTAAATAACTCGCGGGTTGCTTAGCAGTTGTTGCATCAGACACATGATCAGTAGACCTGAGCTCAAATCCTGCACCAACTCCAAAAACCCCTATCCTGAGTGAGTGTGCTACAGACACAATGGGAAGGGCAGTTCTACTGACTGAGATTCATTCACTAACAAATGCAACTTTTGGGTAACCCTGGTTAAGGTCTGAAAATGCTTGTGTTCGACTGGGCCTGGTTGACGCCAGAATAGCGCATTAAAATTGCCATTTGATTGGGAGATGGTCGCACAGTCCTGTCATGTAGTCCTAAACATGAATATGGTTTCTGTGGCAAAAATGCATCTATCAGAACTTGCACTTGCACTTTGAACATAACTACTGTAAGCTGCTTTATATTTGTAAAACAAATTGACGTGAATTTTGTAGCAGGGCACAATTTGTCTTTGAGACAGCAATCGAGTCGCAAAGACTATAAATGTTGTTCCTCACTAATTCTATCAACTTTAGTCACAACATGCATAAATACCAAGTTGAGCAGTTAATAAAACAAGAACACGTTTGAATTTATAATCCCATTATCGATTAGTCTGGTCATTTAAAATGAATGATGGCATCTCCCTTTTTCAGTGCCAGAGTTATAGGGAAACTATCATGTAGTTTACAGGTAAATCTGTAGTTATCTAGTTTTATTGTCACATTGTTGTTCAGGGATCTCTTGGATTACCTTTCTTGCCTATTAAAACATCCAGGATGTCAGATCACACGTCTTCCCCCGCAACCGAGCATACACTCCCAGAAAATATTACTGCTAAATCTCAACTAATGGTGTCCAAGTCAAAGTAAATGCCAGTTTTAGAAAATTAATATTTTGTGAAAATTCATAGGAGTAAAATTAAAATATTAAGACCAGGTCATAGGTCATAATTTTTCCTGCCAACACTTTCTAAAATTTTCTGTATTTTTCTTTAATTTCTTTGTTAATTTTAGATCAGATCAGATGGACATAATATCTCATAAAAAAAATTAAAAAAAAAGAGAGCTCAAAGAGTTAAATGTGTGCACTAGGTTTCGTGATGGTTACAAGAACTTGTTTTGTGACTTAATTAATAGTTGGTCATATGAGGCAAACCTGAATTCATTGACTGACCCCCCTACCCCCTGTATCACTTTAAATATGTGATGATGTCCTAAGTAACAAAGTTGATGATCCTTAGCTTGAAGATAATAAAATTCAAAATTAACTGTCCGTGAATTCCTGAAATAGACTTATATGCAAATTAGCTATGTTCTGAATGAATATACCTCACTTGTGAACAAAAGCATGCCATAAACAACAATAGTTGTGTTCAATTAGAGAGCACAATTGAACTTAGTAATGGCATTTTGCATACATTGTTCAGTCACTACATTTTAATTTAGAATAGACTTGTATTCCTATTGCTTTTTGATGGAGCGAACCATTTGCAAGTTTAGGGGATACGGCTTTGTCAAAACAGGGATCACAGCGTGCGTATGTTTATGTGGCCTGGAACACCACAGGCATTAAGTCGGTGACAGTCACTGGTCATTGGAATGTGATTGGAATTTCCATGACAATACTCGTGAAATCTGCATAATAATAGCAAGGATTCCTCACATGGGTAATTCTGACAGGTGTTGTGGTCGCGAATGGAAGTTATTTATTCTCGGTGCTTTAGTGTTTTTACGTCTGACGTTATTCTCTATCGGGAAAAGTGTCACATCAGTGATTGTATTTCAGTTCAGCTGCCTGAGCTGCTCTTGAAAGCATTATTAGACGCTGACTTCACTATATCAGTTGTAAGATATACTCCGAATCTGAGATATTCTTTCTCATTGGTGGGTTTCAAAGCAGTTGACTTCCCTGCTTTAAGACATTTGTGTGTCCCCAGCAAACCTACCATACAATGGCGTTATGTACTGATGTGATCGTGATGCTCCGTCCATGCCTGCTAAGACATTAGTTGAACACTGACAATAGAAGTACTCTACTCTTAGTAGAAATGACAGGAGGTATGTTTTTCAAATATTCACAGTTTCACTATCAAGCAGGTGTGACCCGCCATGTCAGACATTATACTGGTCTTAACACCCTGGGGTGAGAGTCCAAAGACATTAATGGCCTATTGTACTAATTGATTGTTGACCCCCTTTATAAGTACGCGTGAAAATGCAAATTAGACAGTTATGGTTTGTGTTTTACAACAAGTTTGACTTTTAAAATTAACTAATAAACACTAGAAGTATGTGAATTGTTCTATGCCAACATTTGACAACACATTTGTTAGGTGATCACAAGTTGTTAATGTCTAATCTCTTGACTGTTTGTTACTGCTTTCACGCTGAGAATTGAGACCTGTATGTGAAATGTCTTATTTTTAGTTGCATATAAATGTGTTTAGATAAACTTAAATAAATAATTTTTTGTTACACAAAGCCAAATTATTATTAATACAGCTTGACTGATTTTTTGAAATTGCTTGAAAATATGACAAGTACAATTTAAAAAAAACAAAATCTATAGCAGTGTAAAATGCAATATAGAAAACCTTTTTTTCAATTATTTCAAATTATTAATCCAGCAAACACCACGTATGGAAGAATACATCACAAACAGGCAAAATGAACTTGACAAACATAATGATAAATGGTTAAATTTAATATAAATACCAGTAATATATATTTATTATCGAATGTATTTTCATTCTGTTACATCCGTTTTTTGTATTTATCTTTTCAGTCTTTTTCTTTCAGTGTACCTTGTTTTGTAAACCCTCCACATTATATTAAGAAAATAAAATATTTCTCAATATAAAAAAACATGAACAAAACAGAAATGGTGGAAAACTTGTCAAATTATTTTTTTCATCACTTATAGTGCTTCTCCTCCACAGGATTATGTTGTTGTCATTTTTTGCTTTCCCCATCATTTTTTTTGTTTAGGATATTTTTTTATAACATATCATAG